GTACGAGTAAATGAAGAAGATAGAATATTCCCGAAAAGAATAGTCCAGATTGTTCGAGAAGGTTGTAGAAGGTCGAGGCAATCTATATAAGGCGACGACCTGACGTCAGTTGGCAGTTTTATGATAGACGTTACATGTTGATGTTATCAGTTGTAAAGTTATTGTCAAAGTTGAATTGAGTTATTGTAAAGTTGAATTAAAATAAATTGTGATACCAAAAAACCAATGTAACAAATATGATCAGTTACAATTTTCTAAAAAAAATCAGTTCAAAGGCTAAAGAGAAGCTGCTAACCTTTTATAATGATTGGTGGAGGATAGTTGAAATAGCTGATCAAATTAATGAAATCGTTATCACATTAATCAAAAACCAAATCAAGATCCCAATCTAACAACATCCTACCGTCCTATATCCTTATTATCCTGTTTGACAAAAACTTATGAACGCATGATAAAGTTAAGACTAGATTGGCATCTTGAACACTTTTCCAAATTACCGGCAACCCAGTATGGATTTCGAAGAAGAATGGGAACAATTGGAGCTGTCTCACATCTGGTAATATACATACAATGTTCTTTCTCTAGTAATTCCTATTTGCCCTCTTTATTTATTGATCTAAAAGGTGCATACGAATCTGTTGACTTAAATATTTTAGTGGATTACATTAGAAATAGGAACGAAAGCATCTAATAATAATGTTAAACTCTTTTGAAACCGTAAAATGGATACACCAAGGTATTCCACAAGGAGTAGTTCTGAGTCCTCTTCTTTTTAATATATACCTACGATATTCATAAAAAAAAGTACGCCTGGTCGTCTGTGCGTATGTATGCCGGCACGATAACTCTAGAAAGAAAGATCCGATTGACTTGCGGTTTTGATTTTGTTGAATAAGTGCTTCCCACTTAGAACCCTAATGATTTTCACAATTTTGGGTTCAACCTGCCTACTTTAATTTCAATGTTCTTAAACTCACATGCATTTCTTATTGGGCTTATTTTAGGCATTGATTTATTGATTGCAACTTAATAAGTAGGTAGGTTTTGACTGCCAAATAATTTGTAAAATATTTTACTAAAAACTAAGAAAAAATGAAATTGCGTCACAGAATATATTGTCAGAAAACAAAAAAAAATTGTATGAATCTTCTTTAAATTAGTCAAAGAATTGGTATTAATAAATTTAACAAAATCAGGAAAGATATTGCCACTTTTTTGACATTTGTTAGGTTTTTAATAATACTCGTATACTTTAACAAATTTTATATTTTTATCTTTCTACCAATTAACTCTGACAAATCAATGTTCTAAATTCCTGCCTATGATTTATTTTATAGCTAAATATATTTACGTAATCGTGACTAACACTTTTCGGTAATTCTGAATAATTGTAACTAATATAGGATGTCCCAATTATAAACCATAGATATAGTATGTTCTAGAATATTTGTTAATACTTATCAATAATTTTTATTTAGTAAAGCAAATACTATAATAATAATTATAACAATAATTAATAATGATACCTACTACCCATAACAATAATAACTTACAATATGTTTTTAATAAAAATAATATCCAACTCATAAACTCTAACACATTTAAAATTGTTATGCTCAGGTACAAATATTTGTACATGTACATGTCTTAGGGACAAAGAAAACAAATATTTTTACATGAGCAGGCAAAAGGGGTAAAGGGATCATATAATTTAACATGGATAGATTTAAAAGGGACCAATTATTTTTGGATAAATAGACTAAAGAAGTAAGGAGCCAAAATATTTTACATGAGTAGGCTTAAGAGGCAAAGGGGCCAATTATTATTAGATAAATGGTTCGAACAAGTTGTAAACCCTAATAAAAAGTCTATATGGAATGGTTTTAAAAATCAAGGCTTGTGACAATCATCACGTGATTTTTAAGTAATGGCAATGCTGCACAAACGTGACAATTCAACGTTTTTGTACACTATGAGTTTACCATTGTATGTTTTAGTCTCGATAAGGTGGAAACCACCAATTTAGCGTCTCTCGAATTATTTTTCGTTTTCAGTTAGGATATTTTTAGATATTTCAACACCCTTAATTCCCCTTTTTATTCTGAATCTATAGGTTTTATCCCCTTATAAAGCTTGATTTTCCCTGAAGATTACAATTTGATATCGTTTTTGTTCCTGAGTTAAAATTTTTTCATTATTTCAACTCCTCTCATCCCCCCATTTTTGGTCAGATTTTTTTTAGAATTAATATCACTTTTCATTTTTGATTAAGGATTTCAACTCCTCTATTCCCCTCTTTTAATTATATATTTTTTAAATAAAAACGTAGCGTTTTTTCCCTTATAGCTTGATTTTAGCTAACTATTTCGAGATAATCTTTTTTCGTTTTTGAGTCTGGATTTTTTTTAATATTTCAACACCTCTCAATCCGCAATTTGTTCAGATTTTTTCAGAATCAATAGGCTTTCTTCTTTTCGTAAAACTTGATTTTTGCTAAAAATTTCAAATTGATATCATTTTTCGTTTTCGAGTTAGAATTTTTATTTCTTTTTTTCAACCCCCTTTTACTTCTCATTTTTATTCAAAATCAATAGGCTTCGTCCCTTTACAGAGCATAATTCTTTTGGATGGACGGGCGAACGGACGGAACTGCATACTGTAACATCCTAACTCTGGTTCCCGTCCGTAAGGTGGCTGGATAACCGACGAGTCACCAACTGCCTCTGCGGACGAGGCCAAATGGGAGATGAAGAGGCGCGGTTCTTGGTGCGAAAACGTGACAATTGACATTTTGAGGTTATGTGATTTGACACTTTGATTAATATATCTTTTGATTTTTCCTGTTCACATTTTATTAAAATTAAAATCTTTCTTTACAAAGAATCCCAAATTTTCTTGTAGCCAACCCTACTACAATACATAATACAATGTTGTTCGCTCCCTTGTAGCCGCCATTAATAGTTAATCTTATATGGCTAATTTTGGGTATCTTTGTGACTAAATCAGTTACTAGATAGTAAAATTAGCGTCTTCATCGTGTGTGATTCCCAGAGATAACAGTAGATGTAACTACTAACAAATATCGTGCGGTCCTGAATAAGACATATTCTAAGGGACACAGGAGGGTATAATATCCGCTGTTGTCATATGCCTATTTCATTATTCTCGTTTTGTTTACAAAATTATTTACATATATTAGAAAAGCTAAAATAATTTAATCTATTTTGTTGCAATTGAACCCAAAAAATTTTGAATCATTAGTTATATCAAATTTAACTAAATTAGATGTAATTTTACTAAATTAGATGTAATAATTTTCAATAAATTCCAAAATCTAGTCATGTTAGGTTGTTTATTATAAGCGCACAGCGGCTTACACATTTATTCATTGATGAAAAGTTGTATATGCGTAAAATTCTTTTTTTTATCCCCTCTCTTACTTCTCACATTTCGTCTCCTTGCCGCGGACCTACAAATAGAGCGTATTGATTTCGAATTAATCTTGACATTGTGAATATTATATTTTATCAATGAATGTCTGTTGCCTCTGATGATTCCCAAAAAAAATACAACTCGAATTTCGAAGTTTTAAGTTGGCGTTAGTATTTCTAAAAGCAGCAACGATCAAACAGTTCATTTAACGAGCCAGAAGTGTCATGATTAGGGCACGGAAAAAATGCAAACAAAAAACACAAAAAAATGCTCAAAAATTTACCAAAAAATGCAAAGATTTTAGAGAAAAATGCAAGAAATTAAGCATAATATTAAGCTTGCTAAACTTATTTGTATAATTATTACACCTGTATTTTTTTACTTAGAAATTATGAGGAAAATAACACTTTCAGTTTTGGTAACGAGGGAATTTTTCAAAAATCAAACACAACTTTTAAGTAGGTAAATAAAAGTTTTTTATTCACAATCTAAACGGAAAAACAGTACAAAAATATAAAAATAATGTTAAACTTAGATTATGCCTTACAATTATGAAAACAATTAATAATTAAATGTTTTTCAAAGTTTTCCAGAAGGAAACTTTGTCTCTTGTCCGTAAACATGTGTTTAAAAACAGAAAAACTTCTTTCAACATCAACTGATGTAATAGGAGCATACTTATATTTACAAATTATACTTCTTTTTATATCCGGCACATTTATAGTATTTGCACCTGCAAACATTTTTGCAATATTTTGTAAAATATGAAAGTCTGTATTATTTTGAATCACAGATTCCATTTTTTTGCGAATCAGTGACCCAGTAACTCCACAGATTTTTTTACAATCCGACTCAAACTGATTTATTAGAGCAACCGACTCTGTTAAAGAAGCACATGATTTTTCTAATTTTGTTATAGTGGTATAAACAAAAAAATAATTGGTTTTAAAAAAATTAGGTCTTTTTTTATTTGAGGATTTTTAAAAAGTTTTTTTGAACTCATAAGAGCGGAGGAAGAGGAGTCTGTCAGATCGTCTATTACACTTTTAACTGTTTCGTAATTGTCGGCATAAAACATAGCTGCATCAAGCCATGTACCCCAACGTGTTACAACTGGTTGTGGGGGTAAGGAAATATTTGGGCATTTTTCTTTGTACAACTGAATACGTATTGGGGCTTTTAAAAATACTTTTTTTACAAAGGTAATCATGTCATTTACCAAAGGAAATTCCTCTCTTATACATTTTGCTACTCTATTAATTCCATGAGCCAAACAGGTTACATGTAACATGTCAGAATAAAAGATTTTTAAATTTTGTCCTGCTTTCACCATGTAAGGTGCAGCATCAGATAAAAATAAGATCAATTTTTCCCCTGGTAAGAAGAAATTGGTTAAAGAGTCTTGAACGAATCTGGTAATTGTTAAATTATTCGCTTTTTCAAGTTTTTTTGACGTAAAAAGATAAGATCTGCCAGAGGTTGCTTCCTCTAACACGCCAATTAACGCATGTGCAATGTATCTACCGCACGAATCTGTGGTTTCATCTATAATATAAAAATAATTTGAACTAACAACTTTTTACTTTCCTATCTGTATTTATATTAGTTAAAGTTTCTTTAAAAATCGAATCGACACTTCCTTTGCGTATGGTTGATTCATCGGGGATATTTATATTACAGAACTTGCCTAGAAATTGCCTTAGGTTGGGACTGTTTAATTTTGCCAGCGGTATATTGCTGGTAATCATTGCTTTGCACAACTCCGCGTTGAACTGCTTTTGTTGAACGGTGTGTTTTGCACTTTGTTTAAGGCAAGTTTTTAGAGTTTGCTGTGATGTACCTCCCTCCGATTTCTGCATATTAAGAATATGCTTTGAGCATTTGGCATGCTGATCCACAATAAATTTTTTATCAGCATGAATCTGTAGTAGCAAGGAAAAAAATAATTAAAAAAGAAACACTTTGGTACTATTTCAGATACCTTATACTTATTTATTTCTAAATAAAGAAATATACTTAGTAAAACAGAATACTTACAATTTTTGAACAAACTGTACAGAAAAGTTTGTCTCCATCCAATGTAAATTCTCGGTAACCTTTAATCCACGCTGTATTAAAAGGCATTTTACTTGAGAACAAATTGGACTTCCAACACTTCTAACGTATATAAGTTCTGAATTCTTAACACTTTAACAAATTACTAAACGAAACACACAATTTACGCAAGGCAAGGGTAGCACTTTCTAAATAGAACTAAAACCATATTTATTTATAAATTTTTCTCTTTATAGACCAAAGGTTTAATACCAAACAAACAAGTACCTGGAATCCCAAGTAGTTTATTTTAACTGCTTTGGGTTTCCCTAATTTTGCCTGATAAGAAAATGTTATGGTTAGGAGGATTATCTTGGGAATTAATCTTTTAAAAAAAGTCCGAAATAAATCCTTTAAGTTGGTTGTATCTTACAAAATTTTAAAATTCTTGAGAAATAAGCAAAAAAAACTCTCATAGGAAAAAATGCATTTTTTAAAAAAAGTACAAAAAATGCAGAAAATGCAAAAAATGCAAATTGCATTTTTTCCGTGCCTTAGTCATGATAAAGAAGTACGAAATACAGGCAAGAATTTGTGTTATTTGTTTCGTGGTTTGTATGGGAAATAAAATTTATTGTACTTGATCCAAGTCCGAGTATATAAAACACAATTGAAACTTAGAGGTGTTACATATAATGAGAACCACCCAAATTATCATCGAGAAGGCCATCAGGATAACATGTTACGAGAACTAAATTGGTTTAAATAAGTTTTTTAATATAAAAAAATGGTTTTTGAAGGAAGTAGTAGAAATAATAAACTATATCTCAACTAACAAATAACATTGTTAAAAAGGTTTTTTTCTACGATCACCATCCAAAGTAGGCGAACTGACATTAAGTGACAGCTTTATCGCTCGGCGAGCGGAAAACGTGACTGCTTTGTTTTTCGCCTAATTTAAATTAGATATAATATACTATTCCTTTTTAACAAATTATTTTCAAGTTATTTGTACGTAGTTGAATATTTTTGTTTTATTATCCAAGTTAACATTGACTTTGAATATTAACTCAGTTTTTCATGATTAACTTAGATATAGGCAACACATTATACACTACTGACGACAAATTTTCAGTTTTTCTTAAAATAATGTAATCGTAGAAAAAATCTTGTGTGCATTTTGAGCGAAAAGTTCGTTGCCGTTTTCGACAGATTATCTCAGGCGGCAAAGTATCACTTTTCGCTCTTAATACACAAATAGCTATTTTAGGCCTGATGATGGTATTGGAGCCGGAATAGGTTGCCATTTAGTTACCTATAATAAAGATGTTTATGCATTGTCAAAAATTTTACATTTGGGAATTTGAAAAAGTGTACTAAATAATTGATACGCAGACATCTGCAAAATGGTTACCCGGAGCGAAAAAGTATACCTTTTTTGCGTAAAAAGGTGGAAAATACATAATATTTAACATTTAGGCTAATACACCGTGACACAATTCACAGATATTTCGTGTACAGTAAAGGGCTCGCCTAGAAAAACCCCTTAATGTCAATTTCGAACCAGTATGTCGCCCTGTTGATGAAATATTAGGGAAAAACGAAATGAAAATTACAACTTTGATTTCGGTTATTATCAACTTCTGGACTAAAAGTATGTAAAAAATTGAAAATAATATGAATGCATAAACTTTCCAAAGATTTAGTAAAAAAATTATAATAGTTTATAAAAAAATTGACTGAAAATTAAATAAACAATTGCAAATGTTATATAATTAATAGCTTAACAGAATTGCCTTGAAGTTCAATAACCGAATTTGCATTATTTACTGAGCTACAAGCCGCAAAAGTTCGAAAAACTTAAAAAATATCAATTTTTATAAACAAATATAAAAAACAACAAATTGACAATAGGTACGGAATTGACAAATGACTTATCTGAGAGATAATTTCATTGCCTACAAAAATGACTTGAATGTTTATTGTCGTATCTCCAATAGTTTAAAAGTTATATCAACTTTTAAGTCAACAAATGGATCAGCTGCTGCAACTTTGATAGTACGTATATTTTAAGTTAAGTTATAAAGTTTAATAAAAAATGGAATAAATTTTTTTCCGTAATTTTAATGCACTAAGTCGTTTTTGGAATTTTTATTTCTTTCAAGAAAAAATAAACCAAAGTTGGGAATTTGTTTATAACAAATTGTTAACTTAATAAACAATGGAATTATTAATAAAAATTTTTTTTTGCTGTCACTTTGTAGAGGACTGCCAATTATGATTAAAAAAAAAACACATTTCTTAATTAATAATTTAAACAACAGATATATTAAAAAAAAACGATTATAAACAATTAAAAGTTATTATTAAGAAAAATATTTTTTTTAAAAATCATAATTGGCAATTGTCTAGAAAGTTGTAAAAAAATATTTGAAAAAAATTGAAATACTCCATTTGTTTATAAAAAATTTATAAACAAATGGAGGAAAAAAATTTTTTTTTTTTAATTAATAAATGTCTTTTCTCGACATTAAAACAGTAATATTATAATAAATTGAAAAAAAAAATTTTATAGCACCACTGTGACTTTTCTGTTTTTGTAAACTTTAAAAAATTATTATAAACAAAGTATTAATATTTTTTAAACTTTTATGAAGCTATTTTGTTTTATATGTATATAAAAAGAGCTCCACGAAGCAAAAAAAATTTACGGTAATTATTTAATATTTTTATCAATTTGTAATGAGAGAAATTCTAAAAATTTTGTTAACAATAACCTACTTTGTTGGAAAATTAATTTTTATGAAAAATTCCAACGGGAATGAATTCTTCTAAGTGTTTAGAATACACCGTAATTTTTTTAAATTTTTGAATTTAATTTTATTAACTTAAAAAAATTATTTTATGTAACGTACTCGATTTCGACCTAAAAAATGGCGCGCGGAAGGCTACTTTGAGCGTTAAATTAAAATTATAAATAATGGAGGTACAGTTCCGGGAGTCGGAACTTATTTATAGCAAATTTCCTCCTCTTTAAGGATCTTTTTTTGAAAAATCCAAAAATATTTATAGTTTACAAACTATAGGCGAAAAACCAAACACCATGTTTTTAAGGTGTTTAATAATTGTTTATAACTTTTGCAATTTTTTATGCACTGCAAAATTTTTCTTCACACATTGATCTAAACATTATTCCGAATCGAATGAGCTACTGAACATAATTTTCGTAATAGTATGTCCCAAAAACACGCTTTTGAACTTGTTGATTAGACTATAAGGTTAATTCGCTATTTTTTTTTACCCAAAGAATTTGCAGTTTTGCTGTGAATCATTAATATATCATTAAAATAAAAAAATCAATGTAAAAAATAATATTAGTATAATTCAATTTAAGGGTATTATTTGCGGAATTATTTCTTTATCTATTAAAAATATATATTATTATTTATTTCAAAGTTAATTTTATTATTATGTGTTTCAATTAGAATAGCATTTTTATTATTAGAGCGTAAAGTTTTAGGCTACATTCAGATTCGGTTCACCCTATATAGGCCCAATTTCGAGTCGCCCCCTTCTTCATATAATATAGTTGATGAATTTTTCATGAATTTGTATTAATTCAGATAATACCGTCAAGAAGAATACATTTTGAATTTAAAAATTTGAATATAAGAATAATAGGTTATTATGTTGGTTCCCATTTATTTTAAAAAGAAAAATTATTCGAAAAAACAGCAGATAAATAGTATTTATTAATAATAACAACTGGTACTGCTTACTTAAGCTTTCTTTATAAAACAATGAAGATTAGCATCTTAATAATTTATTGCTCATTTTCATCTCCTCCTAGGTATTATACATAATAATTAGGATCACATATAATTAGCAAACAAAGGTAAGTACAGTTTTCTGTTCATAAATTGTGAAGAACTGATTCACTCTTTCTTAGAAATTTATACGAAATGAGCTTGTATCTAATTGCCTTCTGGTTATCTATTTACTGACGCATATTCCATTCCCTCGGGGTATTTAAAGGCTGTTAAATATGACAAATAATAGTATATTATGCAACGATCATGTAATGATGGTTATTAATAAACGAGCATTAACCGGGATACGAAACGAGCCAAATGCGAGTTTCGTATGGTTTAGGCGAGTGTATTAATAACCATTACATGAGAGTTGCATACGCTATTTTTTCTACACCCGATAAATAATCAAGAACTATAAATATTATATTTATATTGGTATTGAACACAATAACAGTAATTACTCGTATTTCTATAAAAAAATTCTACAAAATTGTAATTAATGGTATTACCTTGGGTATTGGTATTACCATAGATTTTTTGGGCAAATTATTGTGTACTGCATTTTCTCCTTTCTCCGATATGTGTGGAGGAGTCTTCTATATCGCTGATATCAGACATGTTGATAATATAATTATCGAAGTTTAGCTATCTACGAAAATTTAATACGTTTTGACAACTAAGACAATTACATAGGAACCTAGGACAAACGTCAAAAAGAATGCTTGATTGAAAAATTGTAGGTTTCTATTGGTTAAAAATCTGTATCGTAATGAAAAATCTGTATCATAATGGGTATCATTATGAAACGGATTATGAGCATATAAGTGCATTATTATAATACGGGTGTAGAAAAAATACCTTAATTACCAACACATTATGTATAATACAGTTCAATTAATAAATCTATAACCAACAGAAAAAACTGCCCATATTATTATTAGAGGTGGGTTTACCCTATTAAAATTTCCAAAAGAAACGGTTAGAATAGATAAATAGGAAATTCCGAAATGACTATACTTAGGAACTTATTTGTTTTTTACGTTGAAGCCGTTAAAAAAGGAATAAACTTTATTTACATAAAAATGTGAGTTTATTTATTTTTACAAACGTGAGAGCAGTATTATTTTATATTACATCAATTTAATATGTTATTTCCCAACTTATTCAAAAACGTGTTTAGAGGAAAAAGTTCAATTAGTAATCATGCTACTAGGGCGGGTCAATAAGTCCGTGACTTTTTGAATGAAACACAGGTTTTTAGATAATAAGTTATTTTATTTTTCAACGTAGTTCTCTATACACTTAGTCCAACGTTTCTCTAGTTTTTTTATCCCTTCCGAAAAATATGATTTGTCGATGTCTTCAAAATAGGTATTTGTTTGTGAGATGACTTCGTCATTGGAGGCAAATCTCTTTCCGCTGAGCCATTTCTTCAAGTTCGGA